ATATGTGCACCCATGTGTATAGCAGCACAATTTGTTACAGCTAAATCTTGGAAACAACCCAGATGCCCATCCACTGAGGAATGGATAAAAAAGTTGTGGTATTTTTAAACAATGGAGTATTACTCAGATATTAAAAAAGATAAACTAGAGGTTTTTGTAGGTAAATGGATGCAACTAGAAACCATACTCATAAGTGAAATAAATCGGACCCAGATGTGTGAACATCATATTGGCTCCTTGGAGTAGGAACCTGAAAGACTAGGTAAAACTCAAAACGTACAATAGGTAATAGGAAAAGGAAAGAAACTGCTCAAAGGAAGGAACTGCTCAAAGGAAGGAACGACTGGGATGAGGGAAAGAAAATAAAAGAAAGAAGGAAGGCAAAACAAATATATATGTCAACAGCTGCAATGACTGTATCGCTGTTGTATGATGGTATATTGAAATGAACAGTTAATGCTCACAGTTTTTTATGTTCTGATCGACTTTGCATGCTTGTGTCTAGTGGTCTGAGCAACTGATTTGAAGGTAACAATATGCAATGGAATTACAATGGTGAACTACCACCTTGTCTAGTGAAACTCTGTATTATCTCTAAGGTTTTACTGAAGAATTATTTTCTTATTCTCTTCAACAGTTTGAGCAATCTTTCATTCTTACATCTGATAACCTGAGCTATGTAGTTGAGGATAGCAATACACAATGTAACAATCACTGTTGATTTGTATTAATTTGTCTTGAGACCCTGTATCACTTTGAATGTTCTTGCTTTGATTTGTTTATGTTCGTGATACTGGTATGTTGCTTCTGCTCTATTTTTTTGTTTGTTTGTTTCTCGTGTACTACTCTCTTTAAAACAAACAAACAAACATAACAATAGGGCTAGTGATACAGCTCAGTGGCACAATGCTTGCCTGGCAAGTGCAAGGCCCTGAGTTCAATTCTCAGTATTAAAAAAAAAAAAGTGGCAATGAAAACAGATTTAAGGAATTAAAATGGCAAGGTATGCTGGCACATCCCTGTAACCCCAGCACTCAAGTGCCTGAGGCAGGAGGATTGCTTTGAGTTTGAAGCCAGCCTGGGCTATAAAAAGAGCTCAAAGCTAGCCTGAACTGCATAATGAAACCTTGTCTCAAAAAGACAGAAAAAAAAAAAGAAAGAAAAATAATATAAAGAAAAGGAAGAAATAATTTAGTCATCAATTAAACTAACACTTACTGAATCTCTACTATAAGGCATTAAAGTTTCATCAATAATCTAAACATATCAAGCCCTCTTCTTTGGGGAACTTGGGACTTCTGTAACCAAATACAGAGATAAGTATAATTCTAGTCAAGAAGTTTGTGTTCCAATCTCAATTCTCCCAGTAACCAGACCTGATTCTTTGCATAAATCATTTATTTTCGGTCTGCCTCACCTTCTTTATCTGGAAAGGAGATTATACTGTACTATTTATCCTATCAGGTGGTATACGTAATCATGTAGAACCCAATGACACAAGCAATATTCTGGAAAAGATAAACATACAAATGGAAAATGATTATTCTTAATATTTAAAACATCCCTGTTCCATTTGTTATCTCTGGCTTCCCAGATTTGGAGAAATATAATAGCAACTTGATTTAATTTTTTTATTTGATTAGCTAAAGGCCATGCAATGATTCTATCTACACAGTAGCTCCAAATTTTAATGCTAGGAGAGACTAAGTCCTTGGTCACCTGACTGCAAAATCAAAGATGCAGAAAAAAATTACTAAATCTACTCTAGTGGATTGTATTTCTACAATACTACAGCGGGATTTTCATAATGCTACATACTTATCAACTGTCCTGTTCCTCACTTAAGTACCAGAAGTTTCTGGCACACCAAACACTGTTAAAAATTTCCTCTCAGAACAGTCCAGTCTTTCATTTAATACTCTTACCGAGCATTTCACATGTGCTGGGCAATAGGCTAGGCCCTGAAAATTCTGAGATTATAATTTAGTGGGTGAAGCAGAAAAAAATCACATAATATTCTCTGAATACATGTAAACAAGTGAGAATCATCAAAGAGAACACCTTTATCCCCACCCAAGCCCTCCTGTATCCTATCAGCCTCAGAGCTGAACTAACAAAGAGAATGAAGTCGGAAGTAGATGGTGCTGGTTTCATTTTTTGCCTCAGTGTTCCTAGGCTTGGGGCAGATGCTGATAGTAGGTTCCTAACACAGGTACTTGTTGAGTAAATGAATAAATGCACTGTTCAAAACAGAAAGAAATGTATGATTAAAAAGTACACGCTGGCTGCCTGGAAGACCTAGGAAATAGGATTGTACACAGCCAGCCTCCCTCCATGCTCCCAAACCCTTGTCAACTCACCCTCCTGTCTCAGTACACCTGGCCCAATCAGCTTCTCCTCTGCCTTCTTCTTGTTGAAAACATCATTGGCCCTCTAGCTAGTCCAGAAAGCAGGTGTATCCGCCCCATACTAAACTGAGTTTTGTCCTGCGTCAGGTGAACAAGGGTGACTTGAAAGACAGCACACCCCAAAAGATAAAAACCCAGGACCTCCCATCTTCAGAGCACCTTCCAGCCCAATTGTTAATTTTGGATGGATCATCTGATGACCAGCTGGCTTCTGCTAGTTTCCATCTGGCAGAGCAGCAAATTGTATATGCCGGGGGATGGAGAGAGCGCAACACTGAGGCTAAAGCTCACACCACAGCCACAGGTTCAGGTCAAAGTCGGAGCAGATGACCCATCACAGGCCATTGCTATTCTCTCCTCTGCTCACTACTGTTGACGTTTTATAATTTCCCTTCTTATTTATGGAAGTTTCCCTTGGAAGTACAGCATTTCTCTCATACACAATTTGAAGATTGATCAATTACATAAGAAATATACCTAAAATTGATGTCTTCTCTCTATTCCCATGGCTACAATCCTAATTTAGGGCCAATCATCATCGACTGGACATTTTCCATACTTCTCCCAATGCTTCTGAGCTTTCTCCACCTTGTCTCTCCTCTGCACTGCTATCAAAACTACCTTTAGACTCATGTCACCCCCAGTTTAACTTCCTTCACCACTTCTGTGTTACCTTTTTAGTAAAGTTCTGCCTGAGGTAGAATTCAAGATCCTCTACATTCTGAATTCAAATTAACTTTTCAGTCTTGTTCCCCACCAGCCATCCCCTCTTGTGATTCAGTGACATCCCACGTACCTGCAGGTCTTTGCTTGAGCTGTTTCCTCTCTAAAAGATTATCTTTTCTGACATGGCAGTCTTAGCTGTTCTTCCAGCCTTCCATTTTCTTTGCGAAATTTGTTCTGAGACCACCACGTCTTCCCCACCTCCCATACCCCATATCATTTTGTATATAACCCTTACAAGAGCACATTCAGCATTTCAATGCAATGTTTATGTAAGTATCTCTGACCCCTAGAACCTACCACAGAGCTCAGTGAGACTTCAAAAACTGTTGATTGTGAAGATAAATTTTAAAAATAACCAAATAAATAAACAATGCTACTGATATGCAATTTTACACCTACCTATGTGTCCATAAAATTTTTCTGAACAAAAATTAAGATACCTGATCTGAAAATGGAGATGATTTGAAATTGGGAAATGTCCTAGGAAATATGTGTTATGCTATACTATACCCATGTTCCTGTCCCACATTTCAGGACTAATATTGCCAATATTCCCTTCCTCTGCCTAAACCCAATGACATTTCAAATGGGATTTATCAGTTGTCAACCCCAAAAAATAAGTTGCCTTTTTGTTGCTGTTCAATCTCTGCCAGGTCAGGAAACCATAACCTTTCTGTTTCCATTGATAGGCTGTGACACTAGAGCCAAGTTTGGCTGGGAACTACTCTGCTTTCTTTGATTTATTTCCAGTTTTCAATCAAGTACATTGGGAAACCCCAATTGTAATGTCTTTTTAGCCTTATGCTGGTGGCTACTGTTAATAAAATTCAGTTGGTTAATCTCTTACAATGGACCAGGTACTCTGCATTGTTACTTTTTTTTTTTTTGGTTTTTCTCCGGTACCGGGAACGGAACTCACGACCTTGCGCTTGCCAGGCAGGCGCTTTGCCGCTGAGCTAAATCCCCAGCCCTGGACCAGGTACTCTGTTAAGAACTTCAGCTGTATCCTTTCTTTTAATTTTCCCAACTGCACTCTGAAGAGAATTATCATGTCAATATCACAGATGAGAAGAGTAACACTAAAAGAGATTAACTAAACTACCAAAGCCTTGCACTGCTAATAAGAAGCAAAGCCAAACTTTAAACTTCATGCTAAATGACTCAGCAGTCTATACTCTTAACAACAAGCATTTTATAGTCTCCCTGGGGAGATAAAGCATTATCATCATAAATTTCTGGAAACAATACTGAAATGCCAAAGCATGGTCTCTTAAATCACAAATAATGATGGTTCACTTGGGCCAGATTGAGATTTGATTTTATGAACCTTGAGAGATATTAAAGAGAAAAGGGCCTGAGTTTACAACAATATAACAGTTTACAAGAGCCCTAAATTGTATGTAACCAATAAATTCAATGATTGAAGGCATAGGGTGGACAGAACAGAGAAGCCCTGGGAAAATGCCTTCGGAGCTAATAACTTGTTTTTTATTTTGTTTTGTTTTGTTTTGTTTGTTTTTTTGAGAAAGGGTCTCATTATCCAGTTCAGGCTGGCCTTGAGCTCACTTTGTAGCCCTGGCTGATCTCCAACTCACAACAATCCTCCTGCCTCAGCCTCCTGAGTGCTGGGATTACAGGCGTGCACCACCACATCCAGCTAGTAGCTTGTTTTTGACAAACACTTTTCAGTTCACAGAGCACTTTTACATCTATCATGTAATATCACTTCATCTTCACCTAAACCCTGTGAAATACAAATTATGTCTATTCTAGACATGAGGACAAAGCATTAAGTAATTTGCCTTATATCACTGAGTGGTCAGTATGTGGATTTTTGTCTCCTAGTCCCTACATTTTATACTATACCTTGATGCCTCTCAGGACTCAAGCAGATGAGCCTCCAGCGTGGCTGATTTTTACGAGAGTTTTCTGACCTGGCCCCCTTCTGAGTCCTGCTCGTGTCCTTCCCACTGATCCAACTGGTATTTCACCAACTGCCACGGAAGCTTCCAATAGCCACATTCTATCCATCCAACCCTTCTGCCTCTAGAGAATCAGGGATCTCGCTGGTTGTAGGGAGCAGAGAGTCGGACACACTCATAAAACCTCAAGCTTCTAAAACTCATCACTAATCTTTCTCTTTTGTAACAATGTTTGCACCATAAAACAAGGAAAAGTTGGTCATTGAGTGACTTCCCAAGCCACCTGGATATGATAAAACTTGAAATGGAGGAAATACTGAAATTTCTGAAACTCTGATTTTGAGTATCTTGTTGCCTTTTCCCTTTCCTTGAGCTCCTCGATGACCGGTAGTCTAAGTTTCTTTCAGTCAACAAAAATTTATTGAGCATATAATCAGAGACTGCTCTAAATTCAGGCAGAACATCACTGAATACCACAGAAAAACATACTTACTGTCATGAAACTTGAATTCTTGGTGGGAGTGCAGACTGGTGTAACCACTGTGGAAATCAGTGTGGAGATTCCTTTAAAAAATAGGAATAGAAGGGGCTGGGGACTTAGCTCAGCAGCACAG